CCTGTCCTATTCTGAAGCTGGACACATTTCAATATGAGCACATTCAGGCATTTCTATTCATCATGCAAGGGACCCTTCATTAATTATTTTTAGAATTATCTATAACCAAAAGCCAGATTTTCTATACCTCCCCAACCCAAAGTCAGGAAGATTGCAATTTTAGGATTTTGGTTTGATTATTCTTCTAAGTGCTAATGTATTCTTAATTTCCTGTTGCTTGCTAACATGAATAAAAACTGTTGTTTACTCTAACTTGTGTGTATAAAAAAGAAGAGAAAGTGAGAGACTGCTACTCAGACATTCAAACCTAGCTCCGGGTTCATGAGTTACACTTTATTCATAAACATCTAAAGAGCAATGTACCATTTACAATAAATGCTGCTCCTTTAGCAATTTAAAAATAGCAATTTCTACTTTGCTTAATGAATAAAAACTGTTGTTTACTCTAACTTGTGTGTATAAAAAAGAAGAGAAAGTGAGAGACTGCTACTCAGACATTCAAACCTAGCTCCGGGTTCATGAGTTACACTTTATTCATAAACATCTAAAGAGCAATGTACCATTTACAATAAATGCTGCTCCTTTAGCAATTTAAAAATAGCAATTTCTACTTTGCTTAACTGTACATAAGCTATATATTTTTCTGTACATGTCTTTATTAAGTATCCAGTCATCCTATTGAGCATTTAACCTGACTTAATTGAACAGAACATTTAAGACACAGTGATGTAAGCTTTAATTTCCTTCCTGTTCTAATTATCCAAACAACTGGCTGTTAATTTATCTACATAAAAGAAGACAACGATTAGCCTAGCATGAATGTAATTTCTCTCAATCATTTTCTTCCTGTACTTAAGTTAACTGACAGGCCTTTATTACAAAGCGTGTAATATCTAGTATTGGGTTTTGCATTTGTGGGAACTTGCCTCAAGGCCATTTGTAAAGCATATCCACCAAAACCAACAACTGACAATTAAGGGAACCACCACCTTTAAATTCTCAATTAAAGATCTTATAGTCAAAATCCATCAAAATTCTATATATGCATATAATGAAGCAAATAAAATGCTCCCATCTCTAAGTATCTGCATTTTCTTACAGGTTTCCCTGGACTGAGATTTCTGGAGAAGGCAGGATATTTATGAGACTACACAGTGTAACATATTTGGCACTCTATAAAACCTGAAAGGTGTTAAACATTTTAAATTCATAGAATCTCATTATTTTATTTTTTTCAACAAATTGATTGATACTACGGGAGTCCTTTTATATGTGTCCCTATGCATATCAAATCTCAATAAAATTCTGTAAGGGATCCTAAATTATTGCAGTCTGTTCTGATTAAACATCCACTGTAACTTCCTAGAAATAAAACAGAAATCCAATGCAATTATGATACCTACCACACTGTCACTCAGACAATAACATTCAACTGTATTCAAAATTGTGAAAAGTAAAGAAAAAAGAAAAAAAAAGACTTCCAATATATTAATTCTAATATAATTGTTAAAGAACCATTTCATGAGTTGCACCCAGAATTTCACAGCTGGAAAATGTGTTGTTTCTGTAACTGTAGACAACTGCATACAGAACTAATGCACATAATGCAGTATGTATCCAAAGGCCTAAATGTCACCAATCTTGAATGATTCCTGGGGCTCGTTGGGAGAAGGAAGAGGGCAAGGATATCCTGAACCAATTTCTAATTTCTGTTGTCCCACTCTTGATCTAACTGAAACTGTCATGAGTTAAGCCACCACTTGTACTATGGCTTGCAAGTTGAATCAAAGTATTGGCTTTGATACTTGTGGAAGAGTGACACCACTGGATATTACCCAAATTTTTATTCTGTGTTGTAACAACCTAAGACATATTAGGCTATAAATGAAGGCCTTACTCTTTTTCAAAAAACTTTGTCACTCACTGTGATTATTCTTTTAAAAAGGGTTTCCAATGCTCTATATAAGAAATAAAATATCTGAACATACTTATCCAGAACTGAGTGGTTGACTTTGGTTACATGTGCAGCTTTGCATTTGATTTTAGATTTTATCATCTTGGACCAAGTTGCCAAGGTTGTTTTGTGATGAGAAAGCCTTGGCACACAGAGATTTGCAATGCCTGATTTGCACTGCACTACACATAGCAAAAAAAATAAAAGCAGATATATCCAAATCCAGCTCCTGGCACCCAATGGTTTGCTACTGTATATACTTAGATAAGGTATTGATTACTTTGTTTACTAGAGGACACCTCCCTGAAGAAACCGGATGAGCAAACATCCCAAACTTTGAAAGTAGGCTGCTTGCACATTTCCTTCTGCCACCCTCTGGATTTGAGGGGCAATACATCAATTTTTGGTATCTTAAAATAAGCTGATATTTTTCATATTTCCCCTTACTTTTAAAAAAAAAAAAAGCAGAGACATCACCTTGCCGACAAAGATCCGCATAATCAAAGCTATGGTTTTCCCAGTAGCAATGTATGGCTGTGAG